CACGTCCTCCCCCACCGCCGCGCCTGGCCGCCTCCATCCCCCAACCCCGGTTGTCCTCGGCGGCACCGGCGCGTCCCTTCGCGGCCGTCCACGACGGGAAGGCCTCTGTGAGCGGAATTCCGACAGAGGGGACTACAATCTGCCCAACTAGCAGAGTCTCTTTGCAGATCCGGCCACTGAACAAAACAGCAAAATGAGCCCTAATTCCGTGATTCTGTCTGATCAATTATAATCAGAGCTGTTGTAGAAGTGACATACAGAGGCGAAGATGGGAAGAGGGGAGGGGAGAGAGAAAGGGCTGGAGGGCGGAGCCTCGTAGGCAAGGCAGTGGTGCCCAGATGTCTGAATAGATTAATAGACCCAGGTTTTCTAATTCCTTGGAGGCAACCGAGCACGTGTTTACTAGGATATCCTTACCTACTTCTCTTAATTATTTTTGCAACTCTGGCAGGAATCTATTGAGCGCCTTTCCTTCCGGGAGAAGCAAACATTTCTCTCCATCTCATTGCAGCCACAGCAAGTTCCGCGGCACCCCCTGCAGGCCCCGGCTCCTCTAGAGTGGGCTCCTAAGCCCTAATAGAGGAGCCTACAACTCCACCTTTCTGCCCTCAGACCTCCCCACCTCCCATCTATACTCATTCCCTGGGTGATCCTATCCGTCTCCATGGATTTAAGCAGCCGTTTATATCAAATTTGTATCTCCTGTCCAGACCTCTCTTCCTGAATGCCAGGCTACACAGCCAATCTCAGTCTCCACTTAGGTGTCCGATAGCTCAAACCTAACATATACGAACACTGAGTTTCTTTTTTTCTGTGCAAATTTGCTCCTCACACAGCCTCCCCCATCATATTTCATGGGGCCAAAAACGTGAAATCATTCCTGACCCCTTTCTCTCATCCACCCACATCTAATCCTTCAGGAAATCTTGGTTCTACCTTCAAATAAATTCACTTCTCATTTTCTCTGCTGCTGCCTCCGGGTCTGAGCCAACATCTTCCTTCACCTGGGTTTGTGCAGAGGCTGCTCTTCCTGGACTCCCCTCCCTGCCCTTCCCATGGTTTCCTCTCTACAACACTCAGAGTAATCCACATAAAATGTCACATCACAGCACTACTCTGCTCAGAGTCCTCCAATGGCTCCCATTTTACTTAGAAAAAGCCAAGGTTTTTAGAGCAGCCATCATGAACCTGCAAGAGGACCCACATGAACAGCTGTGTACGACTTCTCTTGTTCTCTCCTACTACTCTCCCATTTGCTCCAGTCACACTGGCCTCTTTGCTGTTTCCCAAATGCATCCCCAGCGCCTCTCTCTCTCTCTCTCTCTCTCTCTCTCTCTTCTCTCTCATATATATATGTGCACACACACACACACACACACACACACACACACACCTTAAGCACACCTTAAGTCCTTTGCTCTGACTGTCTCCACTGCCTGAAACATTCTTTCCTCAGATATATACCTGGTGAACTCCCTTTCCTGAAGACTTTGCTCAAATCTCACTTTCTCAGTGAGCCTCACTCTGACTACCCTGTTTAGTACTGCAACCTGCCCAACCTCCCAGCACTTCCAATCTCACCCTTTCTCTATTTTTATATGACATTTAATTCCTGTCTAACATACTATACAGTCTATTTATTTATTAATTGTATTGTTTACTGTCTGTATTACTTGCTAAAATGTAAACCCCATGAGGGCAGGGATTTTTGCCCTTTTTGTTCACCAGTGTGTCCCAGGTACATAGAACAATGTCTAGCAGACAGTGCATACTTAATAAATAGGTATTAAATGAATAAGTGAATATCTGAGATGGTTTCAGGACTGCTACAATTCACTGCCTCAAAATGCCTCCCTCTGTCCCCTGATCAATATCTGAAACCTCACCACTCCAGCTTCATTCCCCTTGGCCAAGAGTTTTGGACTCAGTTTAAAATGCAAATGTCCCTGTGAGAGGCATTAAGCTTTACCAGTCATCTTCATTCTGCTGTGAACAGCAGTCAGGATTTTGTTGGTTACAAAAGAAATTTGGCCTCTTTACCATTCTGGTATGTTCATACTCAATCTTCAACCTAACAGAGAAAATCAAAAATGACACAAATCCAAATATCTCTTCCATTCAGCTTTAGGATGCAATATAGTCCTGTTTCAGAGATTCATGTACTTGATTATTTGTATTAAACAAAAATTAAATTAAAATTGATTTCTATCACCTTTATATACTATTAGAACAGGAATAATAATAGCTGACACTGTTGAATGCTCTGTGCTGTGATAGGTGCTTTACAGTCATTAGTCATTTAATCCTCATTGCAATCCTATAAGGCAGATTACATCATTACTATTATCCCCATTTTACAGGCATGGAAACTGAGACTTAGAAAGGTAAGTTACATGTCCAGTGTCACCCAGCTGGTAAGCTGTGGAACCTAGACTTAGCCCAGGAGTATCTGCTTCCAAACTCACATTCACTCTTGGAGGGGATGACTAAGGGTGAGCTGGTTTGGGGGAGGGAAATGACTAGTATAAAATAACAGTAAAATGATTGCAAAATGTGCTGCAGAGAATTCACAAAGAACCAGATAACTGAGAACAGAGTGTATATGTGTTAGAGGGGGCACGTGCTGGATTTATAGCCAGGCTTTTCTAAAGGTAGGCACTGTATAAATCTAGCAAGTAAATATTACCTTCATGCTTCTTTAGTTTCATTTTTCACTTCTCTTTTCAGCTGTGAAATGTGTTCTTTACTTTCCAGAAAAAGGTATTTCCTAAATATTTGGCCTTGCAATGTAAGCCCATATCTTGGCTTCTAACTTTGGAATACAGCCCTTTGTGCTCTCTTTTGAAGTGACAAATTCTCAACTTGACAAACGGAAACTGTTCCGAATTCTGATTTGAGAATTTGGGAGGTAGTGGGAGCAAAGGAGGAAGTCTTTTCTTCTCTTTCATTGCATGATTTAATTCTCCAATTGAAGGTACTCTCTCTTCTCTCCTCTTCCATAATTCTTCATTTGTGCCACTGTGTCTACATAGTGTTATATTTCTGCATAGTATTATATTTGTATATGAATGTGCTTTTTCTCTGCCCCCACTGCATTTTTAATGTCTTAGGGCAGAGAACTGTGTTCATTTTTCTTTGTGCATAGTGTTTTGTACGTATGGACACTCAATTGTATGTTGAGTGCATGATTCACTCTGGAAAAGATTTCTTAATGTGAACAGAAATATTTCCTTTGGAAGCGATTAAGAGCACACTGAAATTGTTAATTACAGGGTATTCATAAGAGTGAAAAGCTCGGAAACAATCTAAATATCCAACAAAAAAGGTTGACTAAATAATAATATTGAGAGATTATCCACATATAAAAAGTCGTTAGCTCCTCAAAACAGCTCTATGAGGGAAGTACTATTATCCTCATTTTATAAGTGAGGAAACTAAAGCACAGAAGGGTCAACCTCTTGCCCAACTTTTCATAGCTAGTAAGTATTAGAAGACCTGGGATTTGAACCCCAGCAGTCTGTCTTTAGAGTCTACACTAAACTAGAGTACATTCATACAATGAAATCCTTACATAGATGTGAACAATATTAAGGGATACTATTAGTGACATAGAAAAAAACTATTTACACTATTTTAAAAGAAAATCATGTTCTTTTATATAAAATATTACATAAGATATCATGTACACTATGATTCCATTTTTCTTTTAAAGACAGGTATATGTTTGAACTGAGAAATAGACCACAAAGGGTTCACACCAAAATGTGGACAACTTTCTTGGGAAAGTGAGATTATAGGTAAATTTTCCTTCTTTTTTCCTGTCTGGCCCCAAGCTTCGACAGCCAAGTTGCCAGGCAGGTTCTTCTCTTCTCTAGGAACCCACATCTTCAGACAAGAGCCATTATCCCACTCCCTAGCCAGGAACAACACCTCTAATGAATCACTACAGCATTACTCTCCCATCAAAGCCCCAAGGTGCCTTCTGCCCACCCTGACAGCCTCTCAGCACTATATGCCAACACCCACCTGCAAAAATCACTTCTCCAGTATCTCTTACAAATGCTCAGATTTCCTCATTGCATGCCCAGGTGACTGGTTAGAAGTCAACCACTCTGTGATGATGGTAGAGAGCTAGGAGCACCAAGGTAATGGGTACATTTTAGCAATTACCTTCTGAGAATATAGTTCATTCTTTAATTTCTAACTCATAGGATTGTCTGTGTCTATCTATAAGGTGGGCACTTCAGACCATGTAAAACCTTATGGTAAACCAGAGTAGAAAAAGGTGAGTCAGGAGGCCCTGCTTCAATATGCCTTCTAAGAGGTTACCCTCTCTACCTCGATATAGGGCCACCCAGGACAACTCCTTCTCAGAGGCCAGAGACTGGAACATCAGTGTACTCGCTGGTTTGGTATTGGGTCAGCTTAACCAAGCTAGAACTATATTTCCCAAAATTACCTTCCCTATGTGGTTCCAGGTTAGGGTTGTCCACAACAGTTATTCGTGAAGCATTTGGAAGGTAGAAGTGAAGCAGCAGCTTTCATGCTGCAACAGTCAGTGCACGGCTACAGGGGCTGCTTCACCAC